CTTCTCACTATCAAACGGATGTGCAACTTGGCTGCCCGAAAACGGATGAAGACAGTTAAACAGCTTACTTTAACTGACATGTTTAGCATGTAATAACTTTCATTTACTGCAAGATATGTACACATTATTCATAAAAAGATATCTTTCCTTAAAAATAGTTCTTTTCCCTCATTTCCGTTATACATACGGTAATTATTTAAAATAAGCATTTTTTAAAAAAATCCAATTATCCGAATTTTTGATTATCTGAATGGGGTCCTGTCCCAATTGATTCGGATAATTGGAGTTCTACTGTACTTGTACTTTTACTTGTACTTTTTACTCGTTACTTTTTAAAATACGAACTTTTTACTTTTTACTCGTTACTTTTTTAAAAAATACTTGTACTTTTACTCGTTACTTTTTAAAAGTAACGTTGCCATATATGCCCACCCTCACACTAACCGTAGCCAGTGATGCTTGACTTCTGTGATCTCAAGCATATTCAGAGACATTATCACTTAGGGAGATGAGCATCTAAAAACTTCATTTTAACGAAGAAAAATAGATTTCGGCTGACTTTATTTTTCCTAGTGATAATCTATTCAAACTATTGGTGTTTGTATGGTAATCAATCACTATTCTTAGAAAAAAAAATGCGCACTTTTTACACTAGTATATATATCCCAGAAAGCATGCAACCTTACGGCTACCCTTTTGTCAGGATTTTCTTCTTATTGTCGAACGAAAGTGTTTGTACTAAAAACCTTTTTTTAATAAGGCAAAAATATTGCAGTTTTTAAACCTTTCATCCTAAAAGGATTACAAATTATTTTTTAGGACTTTTTTTTTTTTTTAATAAGTGTTGTTAAGTAAAATGGTCACTTAGGTTCATAATGACGGTTTAACTGACGTCACACTAATGATAGGATCAAACTAATTCTCCTATACTATCAGAGCTGACCTATCAAACAATATTGGAGCAAAAAAGTTTGCAAGTTAACGTTATGTTAGTATTGTGCTTATGTTAGCTCTTTGGAGCAAAAATAGATGATGAGTCGGCCTGTCTAATTCAGTGGCTCTAGATCAAACTGCATTGCTCATTAAAATTTCATGACAAGGTGGATTTTAGCTGGGCATGCAAGACTTTGTGAAAAAAAAGGTTTAAGAGTATTTTCACCTTGAGACTAGCTTTACTGAAGGATTTTTTTTACGCTTGAAAACTAAGTCAACCTCGATTTAAGGTTTTTATATCGAAGGTTTTCAAAGGTTTTGGACTAGGGTAATGTGCTTAGAATAGAGCAGATATCCACAGATCTCGTTTTAAGGTTAGAAGATTTACACGTAAGCCGCATAACCAACCTTTTTAGGTTTACATTAAAAAGTTTTTGCTGAGTGAAAATTAAAACATATTTTGCTATTTGGAATTTATTTTAAAAATCATATAATGCAAAGTTGTTTATTCTTAGTTGTTTTTTTTAATACAATTTATAAAAGGTAAGATTCTCAAGGGCCCCCTGAGTGCCTGGGGCCCCTGGGCACTGCCCGGGTGTGCCCATGCGTAAAGACGGTACTGTGAACAAAAAGTATACATAAGCCTCATAATTTTATGAAATTTAATTTTGTAAACAACGTTTTTTGACAACAATTTTTATCAAAAAATTTCAAGTTTCAATAAAAATCATTATTTAGAAACTAAGAAACGTAAAATAAAGAATGCTGACGAAACAAAAACAAAAAAANTTGAAGCTGTAATAATTGTATATTTTGAAAACAAAATGTTCTGTGTTTTTTTTGGAAGAAATATTGACGTTTAAGAAAAAGAAAAAAAACTATGATGAATGTTTACGAGGGTGAGCGAAGCGAGTAGATGGTTGAGCCTCCTAGTAATTTAAATAAAGCGTGATTTGTATGCAATTTTATCTCAAAATTTAAATTTTAAGCCAGGTTTTGTAGTTTTAAAGAAGTTTTTGAAATTGCTTGCAAAAAATCGTATTGCGCTCACGAAAAAATAGTATTCAGAATTGCAACAGAAATATTTTTATGTTAAAATTTTTAAGCATTGCATAAGTATTTTTGCGAGTCGCACCCCTGAGAAAATTTTTAAAGCGCCCTTGAGAGACAATAGCTTTAACAGTTATTAAAAATCTAATTATAAGATAAAAAGTTATTCTATGACNATGGAACTAAATGAAAACGTGATAAATTAATGTCCGATGTTTACAGGCTCCCGCTAGACGGCGTACTCGAGCGTTGCGATCGCGAATAAAGATCTGGAAAACTATCACAAACACGTTCAACTCTATTTTTAATGTACTACTTTTTCTAAAAAAAAAATTAAAAAAACGTAAATTATTATTTAAGTATAATAAAAATTTACACTGTTTATTTCGTGTATTCATTTTAAATCTAATCACTTTGTAATGCTCTCTCATTTCGCTTTTATCTTGTTCGAGCAATTCTTATCAGTCCAGGAAACATTTATTTTGTTTCTGCACCTCCTATTTGAAGTTCAGAGCTCGAGATCGGCATCAAAAATGTCTGTGAAAGGTAAAGTAGGAATTGTTGGAAGGTAGGGTTTTATTTTACATGGCTAATTTGTATTGCATCATTAATGTTTTTAAACCTAAAAAAAAACAAAAAAAAACATAAATTTTATTAATTCAAATTCCCGGTTAAAATATCTTTCAATTCAGAAGTTTTACAATGTTTTCTTTTCTTGGACTGGAACAAATTTTCTATATGTTTGTAGATAAGATTTGTTTGTATTTGTTGATGAAAGTTTTCGAATTCTGTTTTTCGCGTTGTCTAAAGATGTTCTAAATTATAGTTTAATTAAATTTTCAGTAGTTCAGATGTGTCTTTAATTGTTAATGGAAAAAAACATTCTAAATATTTATAATTAAAAGCATCTTCTCTTTTTGTTTTATTCCAAAAAGTAAAAAAGAAAATTTTAAAATGTTGACGAACAATGCAAAATATCAACAATTATCAAAAATTAACATTACATGAGATTTTAAGAAATAAATGTTCAAAAAAACTTTTGCTAAATGCAAATTAATTAATTAATAGGGTTAACACTTTTTTCTTCTTATTGCGGAAACATTATGCTTTTTATAGAATTGGCGTTCGACTTCAAAATAACATTATCAACTCCAACTATACGTCAGAAAAAAAAAATTAGAAAATTTCCCACAAAAAGTAATTTTTCTGATTTAAATTATGTTTTATTATTAATTTTAATGTTAGTAGGAAGTTTTGAGTTGTAAAAATTCTTTGATTATTAAAAAATTCTTTGATTATTAGTTTTTATTAGCTACTTCACTAAACTTCACTAAAGTCAAAATCAATTCCTGCCTTTTTCTCAACGAATCATTCTCGAAAACTTAAATTCACTTTGATTTACAAATGACATTTATAATGCATTCAATTCTTCTAAGTATTATTTTTAAATGAGACACTGCTCGCCAAGGGACTTTTTTAATTCTTTTTGATCCTTATAACCCGTATACAAAATTTGAGAGCTACATTTTTATAGAAAACACAAATGCAGATTCTTCTTCTTCTTTTTTTTATTTATTTATTTTTTTTTATTTTTTTTTTAAAGAAAGAAAATGAATAATTTCGGAGAAGAAAATTCAACTTATAAGAAGCATTTATTATCGAAAAATCATAGAGATTAAGACTAAAAATCCCAATACAGTAGCCTATCTTTTGTCTTATTTATCGAATTTGTTCTTATCACAGAACATCATTGTTAAAAATGAATTCTTTTTATTATCAAGAGTTTAAGTAAGTGATCGCAACTGCAGTTGAAGAAACATAACAAAGTAAATAAATTTATTAAAAAATGATCTTCTTTTCGAAGAAAAACTCATAAAAGTTGTTAGTAACGTTTTCTAATTTTATTATTTAGACCTTTTTTTCCGGGAATTCGTTCATCGTTATTTAAAGCAAACGATCATAATTGCAATTTCAGGTACACGTAAAATAAATAAGCTGGATTGAATGAATAAGATAACAATTTTTATTACGTTTTTCTTCAAATTGCTATTTGTAGCATTATTCCGCTCCGTTATTAATTCCCTCCATTATTTGAGTTTCCACTTAAGCTCAACTACTGAATGTACTTTTAAAGTGATTTATATTTACATATTATGTTAGAATATTTAAGTTCATAAATACGCAAGTTTATGTTTTTGGATGTGTTTCTGTAATTACCTCGTCGTATTTAAAGCTGCAGTCTCCAAACGTATTAATATATCAGAACTCAACATTCATCTTAAAATTAAAAATTAGAAAACGATTCTTAAAATTCCATTGTCAAAATTATTTTCGTAAAGAATCGTTCAGTCGAACTCGCTTATTAACGAACTCCAAGGGACCGCAATGTTTGTTTAAACAGTTTTCGTAAAACGAGTTCCCTGTTTAAATTTAATTTTACTTTACGAATATCCGACTCATTTTATTGGGTTTGTGGTTATCAATGTTCAACTTCATAGCCTTGTTATTCTTTTTAACACAACCCAGAAGACTAGCCTTCGTGGAGGACTTTTCGATGGAACCACTCATTTCATTTGCGTTACTTTGAGAGGAAAACCACAAAGAACTCCCACATTTAGCTCGATAGTCAGGGCACTCTAACCAATGATCTGTCTAAAGCTGAGGATATTTTACGTCAGTACTGCTGTCGGTGCAAGCAGGGAACAGAATTCGTTTCGACCTGAAAACGCAGGGATTCGAACCAGTCTCTATAGTTTGGTGTTGGCTCTATAGCCCTGTTTGATTGCCGGTAGAAACTTGAGAGTATTTTGAAAAAAAAAATCTTTTCATTAGACACTCTTTTCTTTAGCAATCAAATAGGTTTTGCAGAGCATTTTTCCTCAATAGTGATTTTCAGATCTTAATAGCGTTTTTTGTTTTTTACTCATCCAATCATTAATTTGCATCTACAACTGTGTACTTTTAACAAGGAGTCTAAAAATATGTACTAAGGATTATAGGTACTAAAGTACCTAAGGATAAAGTATAAAGACGCAATTGATTTATTGTTAGTTCGAAGTGGTTTTTTGGTTAGTGGTAAAATAACTTCGTTAAAAAAAAGTATACGGTTGTCAGAAAAATGCTGTATGACTGGCAAAGCATGCGTTGATTAAGACATCACAAAAACGTCGATTCTTTCTATTTTGAATTGAAGTGCTAATTGAATTAAATTAATTGGAATCAATTGTGCCTCCATTGAAATGTTAAACGCATTTTACTGATTAATTTCACGTTCAATCGCCATTATTTAAGATGACTACTGACTAACTTACTGATTCATTTATTCACTTCCTTTTAATCCTGAGTTCCTTTCATTTACTTATGAACTCTTATCACTTAATCAGTCACTTAACTGAAAAGAATTAAATGATGCTCATTCAGTCAATAGAAGTCCCGCAGTGGACTGATCGTAAAGACACGGTGCTCAGTAAAACATGGAACACAAGTATCACTGGCTGCGGTCAGTACACGGGTAAGAGACCACTATGACCCGCCTGCGTAGGCACCGAGGGTGCGCGCTATCGGTCCTCNGATCAAAATTGCGATGGCATGTCTTCGGATCATCCTCAGGAATGTTTCCCAGACCGTCGCCAATAGCCCATTATACAGCTCTAGTGCGACGTAAATAAAGTACCTATCCACCTACCTACCAGTCAGTAGAAATTAGTTAAAACATATTTTAACAATTGTGCTTGTTTTCTGTATAATATTGTTTGTGACTGCATAATTTTTCAATACTAATAGTGAATTCTTTCTTTTACCAAATTTAAAGTGGCTTTATTGGACGAGGATGGGCGATGCTTTTCGCGAGCACCGGATATTCCGTTGGTATATATGATGTTGAATCTTTCAAAGTTGATGAAGCACTCGCAGATATTAAAATTCAATTACAGAAATTGAAGGAATTGGGCTACTTGAGAGGAAAGCTATCAGAGACAGAACAGTTCAATCTGATACACAAATGCAACACCTTGGAGGAATGTGTTTCTGGTTCTATACATGTTCAAGTGAGTATTATCCCAGATAGCAAAACAAGGTTTATTTCAACTCAGCGAAAACCTTTTAATGTAAACCTAAAATGATTTGTTATGCGGTTTAGGTATAAACCTTCCAACCTTAAAACGAGATCTGTTGCAATCTGCTCTATTCTACGCACATTACCCTAATCCAAAACCTTGGAGAACAACCTTCTATATAAAAACCTGAAATCGTTGGATTGTTATGGGAATAAGGTTTATTTTAACTCGGCGAAAACCTTTTAATGTAAACCTAAAAAGTTTTGTTATGCAGTTTACGTGTAAACCTTCTAACCTTAAAACGAGATCTACTACAATCTGCTCTATTCTACGCACATTACCTTAATTCAAAACCTTGAAAAACAACCTTCTATATAAAAACCTTAAATCGAGGTTGACTTAGGGTTTTCAAGCGTGAAAAAATCTTTTAATGAAGCTAGTCTAAAGGTGAAAATAATCTTAAATCTAGGTAATTATGAGGTTTCTTTTCGCAAAATCTTGTATGCTCAGCTGAAATCCACCTTGTCATGACATTTTAATGGACAATGCAATTTGATCCTATCGCTAGTGTGACGTCATTTAAAACGTCATTATGGACCTAAGTGACCATTTTACCTAAGTGACAATAAAAAGAAAATTCTGACACTAGTAGGTTGTCGTAGTAAGATTTCATGCTTTCTGGGATAGCAACACAGCTTTTTTTTTCATAAATTTTTCCAAAACCCACCCGGATATTGTCTTTCGCCATTCGGGTATCAAAAGGACAAATTTGTTGATCACTCTCGTTAGGTGGGCCAACATTGCTTCTATAGTAGGAAGGATAGATAGTACAGAAAAGAAAAGGAAAGAACATCCATACCTAATCTGGGATACGAACCCGGGACTTGAAGTCAGCTCACTGACCACCATACTCTCCGGTTGGGTATAACAACACAGAAAAATGAATAAAAGATTAAAAATATACTGTTTTTTAATTATAGCATGGCAATTAAAGTGCGAAAATTAATACTCATATGCCAACGTTCTTATCTTGTTCACATTATATTTTATAACCGTCGTTGAACAGCCAACCCAGTTTTGAGTTGACTACTAATGTTCAACTCCGTAGCCTTGTAATTTCGAACCAATCCAGAAGACTAGGAAACTCCTGGATCAGTACCCCCAGAGGTTTGATTTGTTATGGGAACATGAGGACTTTCTGACTCAACAGATGAACCGGACGTTGACTCCTCGTGTAGGAAATGGTGACCGATATACGTTAAATCCGTTGAGTCACAAAGTCCTGAATATTCCCATAACAAATCATACCTCTGCGGGTACTGATCCAGGAGTTTCCTCGTCTTCTGGATGGGATTTAAAATTGCAAGGCTACGGAGCTGAACATTAATAGTCGTAAACTCAAAATTGGGTTGGCTGTTCAACGACGGTTATAAAATAAAAAGGTATGGTTTTACAATTTAAAGAATTCAAATACTGGCATAACTCATAGTTTGGCAATTTTTCAACGAATCTTTAAGTGTTTACCATACATATTATACAACTGCATGCATTTAGGCAAAATACTAATTTTTATTGCTCAAATATTCAAAATTATCACGGCCGACATTGAACATTGAGCATAGAGGAATTTTTCTGAACAACTCCCTCATTGACATCACTTTTATGAATGTTTGTGGAATTTAACTAGGGCTTGCATTTTGTAACAACAGTAGAGTTAATTAAGAGGAAGATTTTTTTTCTTCAGGTCCATAACACATTAAAAGAAATGCACTTAAAATAAAACTCTAATTTTCGTAGCCAATAACGCACAGAAAAACATATCTAATTTGATTTAAATGCTCAAATGGAATCACAATAAGCAATTTTTATTTGTTGGATACCCATAAAATAAATGGTACTTATCCGTTTACTGCTCACCAAACGAAGTTCAGTTTTGAAGTTTTTTACCCAGCTTTCCTCATTAGTGATTTGATAGATTTAGCAAGAGTTTTTGCTTTTTCTTCACCCAAACATTAATTTACGACCCTCAAAATGTATTGCTTTTTTTTGCATTATTTTTGACAAGGATCTTTCAAAAATATATATTAAGAGTGACCATTACAGAACACTCTCTATATTTATATACGGATAATACAGATTATAATAGTGAGTATATATTTGCTCCAACTTATAGATTAACTTCGTTTTTAACCTATAGGTCCTGACCAAAGATTAGGTCCAGAATTTTTGGCATTGAGTGGCAAACCTTGAAAATTTTATTTTTTAATAAAGTTATAATCTTTTATTTTATAATAAACTTTTTGTTTCCTGAAAGTCAATTTGGTGAGCTTTTGGGTTAGAGTGACAACCAAACCCTTCCCTAAAGGTGACATTTGTACATTAAACTGTTCCTTAGCGTTATTTTCAATTAGTTAGGTACTTTACAAGTTTCTGAGAACTTTTCTTTATATAAAAGCACAATACACATAAACAACTTATTTATGACGTTATGACGTCTTCTTTATTGAAAACGCTTTTATGAACAATTTAAAATATGTCGTATCAATATATTGCCCCCAAGTCATTCAATTAATATGAGCTATATATCATATGGACGCGATACATATCTCATATTAATATATCGCTGGTTCAAAACTAAAACGACACATCTGCAAACGTGTAATGCCTACAGATGTGTCGTTTTAGTTTTGAAGCAGTGATATATATAGGTTAGATTTTAAACATCTATGAATTAGAAAAATGTCCTTGTTCTTAGTTAATATTCTCATCAGTATAGCTTTCACAAAAAAAAAAAAAAAAAAAAAAAATCTAAAATGCCTATTGTTTTTTTTCCCTCAATGATTTATTAGAATTTGCGATGGAGAATTCCTTAAAACTTTGTTTTATTTACAGTTTTTTTAATTTATAAAATTTTAATTTCGTGTTTATTTTACAGGAATGTGTGTTTGAAAATGTGGAGTTAAAAAAGAAAGTTTTTAAGGACATGGATAAGTATGTTTCAAAAAATGGCGTACTATGTAGTTCAACGAGTTGTTTCCCGGCTTCTTCATTTACGGATGAGTTAGTGCATCGATCACAAGTAGTAGTTGGACATCCAGTAAGCTTTTTTTTTGACCGTTCGTAATTTAAAATTAAATAGTGCTTAAGTTTCGGTGGATTTTATTGTCCAGTATCGAGAACGAACAAATGCACCAAAAGAATATTTTAGATTTTAACATTTCTAGTGGGAGGAGAAATGAGCAGATAAAGAATGCCGATTTTACAAACACTTGAACAACAGAAAACAGCATTAAATTATTCAAAAAAGGAGTACTGGAAATGTTTTTGTATGTGGTTATTATTTATTAGACATAAATGATTAAGAATGCATAGGTTCCCTACAGTTTAACATTAGGAGACAATATCTAGAAAATGGACAAAAAATATATAAATAAGTATCATAGACAATTAGGGTGGTATAACTTAGATATTGAGTTAGAACTCAGAGTTTTCTCATCCTTTAATATTAAAAGACGGCATTAATAATAAATTAGACAAAAAATATTTGAATTGGTACTGGAGAGGTTTTCGCTGGTTTTACTCAGTAAAGCATAAAACATGAATAAAGCTCAAATGAAAAAATATTATTTTAATTGTTTTTTTGCTTTAGTCTACATAGCACAAAGTATACTCAATCCTTTGTCGGATATTAGATTATAATCACTTGTGTATGTGGGACGTTTCGGTCCCGCCTATGATGGTTATTTATTCTATTTGGCAGGATCTTTCAAATTATGTAAAATGCAAGGCCGTAACCCAATCAGAGTTGAGATCCATAGCGTGAGTCATTTTAGATTCTCTATTCGTTTTTTCTGACACAATACCAATACAGATCAGCAGTTTTTGAAACATAGTTGAATATTTCAGGCACACAATTAAGATTAACTTAATAGATTAGAAAGTTTGATTATTGTTAAATAAAGTTTTAATCTAAAATTTTAAACTTTCATAATGATTTTTATTTTATAATTTATCTAATTTTCTCTTTAAAATTTGTAAAGAATATGGTTGTGTCTTATTATTTTTTTTAAATATTGATTGCGTATTTTATTTCCTTAGGAATGTGTATTTGAAGATTTAGAATTGAAGAAAAAAGTTTTTAAAGAGATGGACGAGTATGCCTCAAATGATGTTGTTTTAAGTAGCTCAACAAGCTGTTTTCCAGCTTCCTCATTTTCTGAAGGACTTAAACATAAATTTCAAGTCATTGTGGCTCACCCAGTAATTTTTTTATAGTTATTTTATTTTGATTTTTATTGTTTATGAAGTGCTATGTTTCTCTTTAGGTTTTGATTGATTTTATTCAATTTCTTTACTTACTATGTCAAGCATCACAAAAATGAACTATGATTTAAAAAATCAATCAAAGACGAGCCGCGATGGCTCAGGGGATAGGAGTTCCCTTGTTTTCTGTATTGGGTTAATTACAAGGTTACGAAGTTGAATGTTAGTAGTCGTAAACCCATAAAATTTGGTCGGCTGTTCAACAATGGTTTTAAAAATATTTTAAAAAATCAATAAAAAAAAAGAAAGAAAAGGAATTAAAAGTCTGCTGTTTGTTGCATTCTGTTTAGGAAACCACAATTAATTTTAAATTTCAAAGATAGTTATAAAACCTGCCAACAGATGGTGGTGCTAATTAGAAACATTATATTATAATGTTTTCTATTGCCTATTAGATTATTTCAATTGAAATCTTTGCATGAATGTCAATTTAGTTTGTTCTCAGACTGTGCCGCCTTGTTGCTGCAAATGTCAGTTATTTAAAAACCTTGTTTATATTTTTTTGGTTAGTAAGTACATTTGTTTACAGAATTTGTAACTAATTTAAAAACCACCAAACCAAGTTATTTTTAGAACGCTTGTTTTTGAGTATAAGGAATTTAAAACAAATTTCTAATCAATTAAAAGTTGTTTAAAAAGTATATTTAATATAAAAATATTAGTTTGAAATCTTGTGTAAATAATAATTTGGAAAAATTTATGAATTTTTAAGCCAAATACTCCGTTTTTTTTTTTTTACTTCATAAAAATAATAGTTTTCAATGTTATACGTTTAAATTATAATTTGGAAAATTATTTTTTGGAGGAATAGTATAAAATATGTACATAAAAATGTATATAAAACATATGTATGTTAGTCAGTATTATATATCTCTATGTATGAAATTGAAAAAAAATGTAAATATATTTATACTCAGATTGTTAAACTTAAAATAAATAGACAACTTAACTTATAATTAGGCAAAAAGAATGGGAAAAAAACTGAAATATCCATTTTTTATGTGTAGGCCAAAGTTGCTAGACTGAGCAATAAATTGTATTTCTGAGACAAGTACCAAATTTATTAATTTTATATTAAAAATTTTCACTGTGCATAGTTTTGCATGATATTCTGTAGGTTTTTAAGAACGTAATACACAACATTTTTTAAGGTTAATCCACCATATTATGTTCCTCTTGTTGAAATAGTGCCTGCACCATGGACAGATCCAGATGTTGTTTATAAAACAAAAGCTTTAATGACAGAAATCGGTCAAAAACCAGTTATTTTAAAAAAAGAAGTTCCAGGATTTGCCGTTAATAGAATCCAGTATGCTCTTATTAATGAATGTTATAGAATGTTTCAGGTAAATTTGTGTCTTTAAATATCTAATTTCCTCTGCTATTCTATCTCTTCTCAAATTTCATTTTATTAGAAACATGCATGCACACAACAAAAAAAAATATTTATGCCTAATATGTTACTCTTTACCATAATGTGTCATGGTTTTGCTGAAGCATGTTAAATTTAAGTAATTCGTTAGTTAAATTATTATTCTGAAAAAAATGAGAAGAAATTTTATAATTTAAATTTTATTAATAGTTCCTTTTTTTAAAAACAAAGGAAGATATTTTTTTATAATATTTATACAAAATGTTAGTTTTGTCTTTATTTAATATACATAAAATTGTAAACAAAAGTAACATGATT